TTGGTTGATGAAGTATTGGTAGATTCATATTCACCTTCAGAATCTCATGGATTTCTATTTTTGAAACCCAAAGACATTGCATATGCATGGGTCAAGTTTCAGATTGGCAAGCGCATGGAATTGCATACGATTATATTGGATTTTTGCCTCAGTTTAGGTGCACATTGATGTGCCCATTTTTTTCACAAACATGATCCAATTGGTATTTGGTATAACAAACACAAGCAACATATACAAGTTTTGGCATGCAGCTAGCATACCAAATTCACAAAATGTAAGTGGGGATAAAGGGACCCAAGGTCCCAAGAAGGAGTTGTCCAAAAGATGCAACCCCCCCACACAAAACTCTCGTCTGGGGACTTTACCTCTTGGTCGAGCTGGGCTAAAGTACAAATGACCGAGCTGAGCTTTTGATGTATGATAGTATCTCTTTATAGATCGAAGACGACTTGAGGGACTTCTCAGTGTGGAAGCGATGATGCCTTCACGACAATATCCCGAGCGCTTCAGCTTATGGGTAACTTTATATTTATGCATAGAATACAACACGGACTAATATATCTCATATGTAAGAATGAGATGCCTAATATCAAGTACTTAAATTTGAAGGGTGCAAAAGTCAATCGGGATGGTCTTGTCACGTTGTTGCGCGGATGCAAAGATCTGGTGATGTTGGATGCCAGAGATTGTTATGGTTTCGATGAGAACGACGATAAAATATCAAAGCTTGATCTCATATTAGTAAATTTATGTGCGAAGGTTCTGAATTTCCTGAATTTCTTTGTGGTATGGACAATTTTGTTCTTCCTGTTGATGGATACTCATTTCATCTGCATGTGGAGGAGACGTGGGATGAAATGCTCAATTATTTGAGCGATGCGTAAAATGATTTGGGCGACGAGGAATGAAGAACTATTTGATCGTACTAAGCGATATCTCATCTTAACTTTCCCTTCCCACCAAAATTTTTCCTAGCTAAATTTCTTTGAGGTTCAGGAAAAATTTCTTGGTGAAAGAATGTTGGTTGCACCAGCTTAACAACAGGCACAACCAGAAGACAAATGAAATAATATGTTATATTTAAGATTGAGATGCTACTTCTCATCTAACACATGTTGTTTGAATTCTCATTTAGAATAGTTCATATATCAATGTCATATGACCTCTGATACCTTCAATTAATTTCAAAATAGAACTGCAAACACTGGCGGACCTAGAAATTTTTTAGCGGAGGTGCAATATTGACTAAGTATGAAAAATTGTTTTTCAGAATAATCATTTTCTCAAGATAATTTTTGGCGGCTTTTATTCCTTACACATCAAATAAGAAAACTTGATTTTATGGGATTTTAGTATGAAGTATACATTGACTTAATGAGCCATTATTTTTAGCATAAATCGTATTTTGCACTAAAACCGAATTTTCATATTTTGATTTGGTGGGAATTTGATTTTATAGTATTTTTATTTGAATCCAAATGGGGGGTACTTCCTTATTTACATTGTAAACTTAAGTAAATGGAGTAATAAAAAAAAAGAAAAGTAAAAGACAAAGACATTTACTTAAATGTTGAAAATGGAAATAAGGTAATCTGTACACCACTTGAGCAAAGGTGCAATTTGAAGCACCTACAATGATTTTTCCGGCTAGGGGAGGTGCAGCTGCACCTCCTTGCGCCTTACTAGATCCGCCAGTGACTGCAAACTTCCGTTCGTTGTCTCTTTAGATTGTTTTATATCCAATTTTTCATCTACATAGAATGCAGTGCGAACTGATATATCTCATAGCAGAAGAGCAGGGTCATCAAGTGCAATGAGAAAAAAGGCTGTAATTTGGTTTAGTTCAAAATTACAACGGATACATTTTAGAAAATAAATTGCTATACAAGCAATTTTATACTATGAAATTCCCTTGATCCACAAAATGTTGGCGGATACCGTTTATAATTATTATTATTTTTGGTATTTATGGGTTTAACCTGTATTATTTGTTATAAATAAAATTCATTTTTTATTCTTGCCCAATGGGTTAATAGCTGGAAATCATTAGAATGGGAGGCATCAGAAAGAATTTAAATTCTCATTCCCCAATATTGCTTGTATAAATAAAATAATTGAAGAAATAACCCTAGCCCACCCTAAACCCTAAAATGATATGACAAAATTGTATATTTAAAAGGTTATAGCCATACGGCTGTACTTTCTAAATACATTCGGATATTTTAAAAATATTAATGCACTCGGATATTTTAAATACAAATTTATAAATAAACCCAATCCTAGACATGTATTTATAAAAAAACCCAAGCACTATTTAAACATAGAAACACACCCAAAATCAATCCCAAAATCAACAATTGTATATTTTTTGGGTGTGTTTATAAATGGGTTTTGAATGTGTGTAATGATGGGTTTTGGGTGTTGGGTTTTTTTATAATTTCAGCCCCCATTTTGGGTGTTTTAGTGAAACTCCCTATTTTAAAAGCATAGCCGTTCGGCTATACTCTTTAAATATAATCCAAACGAACACGAAGCTTGCACTCGCAGAGGACGGAGGTTGCAGACGTGGTCACAGCCATTTCGCTTCTCTATCAACTTAGGCTTCGATTTTCAATTTCGACTGCTTTGTCCTCCGGGTTCAACACCGAAAAAAGACCCAACCCGCCTAGGAGGCCCGCCCAGCCGCCTAGCGCCCGCCTAGCCACCTAGCCGCCCGCCTAGGCCGATTTTCCGAACACTGCGATTGACTGAAAGTCTAAAACCCGAAATTGAAGAAGTTTAGCTGCAAATTTGAGCTTGAGATTGAGATTGGGAAGCCGAAGCAAGCACAATTCAGGTCCATAGAAGAAGAGATCATGAGACTCTTAATTCATCTAATTCCATTCCTCTCCCTGTTTCCCGCCTTATTCTCTTCTCTCTTGGCTCTCTCCCAAACGACATGCTCACCTCACCACACCAACGACAATGACGAAAATTCCTCCCTTCACCAACTCCACCTTATTATCTTCTCTCTTCCCGTTGACGGCATGACGCAGAAGAAAAAAATTCAAAATTTGCTGGCTTGGTGTCTGTCTTCAGTGGAAGGAAATGATGAATCTATCCTATCATGGAGTTTCTATGGTCTTGCCAATAACAAGGTTCGGTTTTTAGGCCCCAATCTCAAATTCTGACTATTTATTTCTGTTTTGGTTAAGCAATAGATTGATTGGTTTGGTTCTTCTTGCTTGAAACTTGATAAATCTTTATGCATTCAATATTCATCCATTGATGGTTCTTCTTGGTTGGACTGCTTTTCATTCTTTGGATATTGCATTTCTGTTATAGATTTTTACACTTGATCATGCCCTCTTGTTTGCTGAGAGAGAAAAAAAAAAGAAGAAGAAAGATTTGTCTCCTCCTCCTGTTGCATAGGAGCCCAAAACCAACCCACCAAAGACCGAAAAAAAAAAATTTTTTTGGAAATATTACACCACCTCAAGTGAAAATTCTAATTCATTTATGCTTTTATATTTGTTCTTGTATCAGCATCTGTGTTTCTGTTGTGTGAACTCCACCTCAACTCCAAAGAAAACAAATAAAAAAATTAGAGGGTGCATTTGCTAACGCATGGGTTGGGAATATCTTAATTATATTTAACTTTTCAAACTGACTTCAAAAGCACCAGATTAACACACCAACATGAAATATCATTTATCGAGCCTCCATGAGTGTAAAAGGACTGTGACTTCATTACCTGAAAGTGCTTTAGAAGAAGGATCGACTGCGAGTTCATTGAGATCCCTTTCACTATAAAAACCAGGGTTTTGAGGTTGAGGCAATGACCCTTCAATTTTGAAGGATAGCAAAGATTATTCACCAAACATCTCCAATTTTGAAGGATTCAAAAGCACCAGATTAACACACCAACATGAAATATCATTTATCGAGCCTCCATGAGTGTAAAAGGACTGTGACTTCATTACCTGAAAATGCTTTAGAAGAAGGATCGACTTCGAGTTCATTGAGATCCCTTTCACTATAAAAACCAGGGTTTTGAGGTTGAGGCAATGACCCTTCAATTTTGAAGGATAGCAAAGATTATTCAGCAAACATCTCCAATTTTGAAGGATTCAAAAGGTGACAAATATTTTAATCTGATCTCTTAACAATTTGTGTCTAATAATGGCTAATATGCCGTTAGAGAAACAGAGATAGAGGTGTGCATATCACTGTGCTGGTTGTAACAGTTGGCTAATATGTACCTACTGGAACTATGAATATGTCTGTTTTCTAACCGTCCAGCATTCAGTCCCATATAGCATGGCTGGTCTAACATATGTTCTATAAACTTAGCTTTCAATTCTAGAAAAATATGATGATCACACTATATATATGCTTAACAAAACCCTCCATTTAACCTATCGTGCTTTGATTCTATGAGCCACATCATCTCCATTCTCCCCTTGTATATATGGATGATTGAGTACATGCTAGATAGTGAAAGTTTTTGCATTTTGATATACTCTTAGTGGTGCAATTGGTTGCTCTTATGTCTTCGTCAGAACCAAAGGCTCCTCTTGGTTAGCAGAATTCAAAGGAATATGGTTCCAGTGACCATCTTGGAGAGAGAGAGAGAGAGAGAGGCGTTTTAAGGGTGTGCGCTTGTTCGTTCGTCTCCTTTTCTCATTTAGGTGGTGAGTAGATCATCATTGCAAAGATACAGCAAGTGCCCTTCTGCCCCCCTTTAAATATCTGATTTTTGGGCTCTTCCTTTTCCTCTCTCTCTCTCTCTCTCTCTCTCTAGAATCCCCCCACCTTCTTTTTTATTTCATTTCTCTTATTTATTCAGTTAATTTTAGTGACAAAAACCCAGCAACCTTTATTTAATTCGGTGCTTGATTAATTATAGTTATTAATCATGTATTATTTTGTTTTTTAAAAAAAATGTAAAAGCTGCGGTGGCATGGGGAGCTGGAAAGCCTTTGGTGATAGAGGAAGTGAATGTGAATCCGCCTCAGGCAATGGAGATAAGGATCAAAGTCGCCTGCACCTCTCTCTGTCGCAGTGACATCACTGCCTGGGAGTCTCAGGTACTCTCCTCTTCTTATTTTGTCCTCCTCTTTTCTCCCTTTCTTTTCTTCTTCTTTTCAACACAAATAGAGATAAAACAATATTACTTTTCCTTCAATTCTTTTTTTCTTGTTTCCTACTTACTGAACATCTAGGAAAATAATCATTATCTGGCTAGGAAAATTCGTTTAACTATTACTTATGGTTTCTGTCTGACCAAGAAAAATTAAAACTTTGTTTGTGCCACTGCCAGATATGCTTTCTTCTTTCCGGATGGATTAATTTTCTTGCAAAACAATTGTTCAAGATTAGTCATTAAAGTAACTGAGAAGAAGAAAACCTCGGTTTAAAGTAATGAACTTATCCATGAATTAATATCCTGTTTAAATTTTTCGAAATTCAGACCTATCAGGAGCTAAGCATCAACTGACTATTCATCTAACTGAAAAAAGTTATCTATGTATGTTGATACCAAAAATATGATTATTTATGGATACCCCTTGATGGTTACTGAACATGGATTCTCCTTAAAGAGCATCTTCTACCTTCTCCCTCGCATCATCACATGAAGCAGGAGAATAATTTGGTTCGCGTATGCATGTCGGTGTTTGTCTGTGTTCATGTTGTAATAGGGGAATGAATTTTCCGTTCATGATAAGTTTCTTCACAATTAAAATGCAAAGAATAATATATAAAGGCTTCCTTTGTTTTGGAGGTGATGGGGGATAGGGAGGAGCAGAAGAAAAGGAATCTGATAGCCCTCACATGCCCCTGCACGTAGTCACATACATATGTAATTGCAATTCTTGATCAAGGAAAAACGTTGCTGACATATGTTGACATATTTTTAGGCTTCTGTAAGTGCAGAGACTTGTTAACAGTTTTCACTTTTTAAATATGACAGCGGCATGACTTAAACAGTAATGATTTCTTGTACGATAGGTTGCACAGGGTGCTAAGCTTAGGGGAGCATCTCAAATAATTGGTGTTCACACTAATTTGTATCTGGCGTTTCTTTGAAGGGATGGGGGTTGACAGTTACACTTGGTGTGCCAAAAGTGAAGCCGGAGGTAACAGCTCATTATGGAATATTTCTTACTGGAAGAACATTGAAGGGATCTCTATTTGGAGGATGGAAACCTAAATCTGATCTCCCTTCATTAGTAGATATGTACACAAAAAAGGTAAAACTAACTAAAACTTCATTGAAGCTTCAGTAAGTCCAATCTCCCTTCTAATATTAAGTGTCCTTTTCCCTCCCATTGTTGTAAAATTTGATGTGTCCTCATGTAGCTGGAAAATCTACTGACAATGTTTAGTCCTGGTTACAAGAATGCGATAGGGCATGCCCAAACAATTTATCATGTCTTAGTTTGATAAATGTCTAATGTACAAACGTATCAAATCATCTTGTTTGAAGTAGTAGGGTTATAATCGGAGTTTCGCTTAGTATCAAATTCTTAGGTTGAATTTATAAACCATCTAGGTGAGGATGGTGATATCAATGGACAAGCTGGGCTTGAGCCTTGGGCGGGATGTCTCCGAAGTACGAGTGCATGATAACTTCTTTAGAGTTCCAACTGTATCCATAGTCCTGACCCAAATGACATGTGGAAACTGTCAAGCTAACTGTAGGAAGGACTATACCTTAAAAGGCTGATCCGAAATCACCCCTTCTCCAAGTTTAAAAAGTTATTGGTTGCACAAACAACAGCGGCCAAGTCAAATAATGGTAATTCCAGATCTTCCTTTTGGCCTTTATCTTCTGCAGACAACGAAAATCGATGCACTCCTTCCCCAATGTCATACTTTGCTCTTTGCATGCAACTGAGACATATAAGAACAATTATAATATTTACCTTCAGAAAGTAAGATGTCAGCAATTTCATATTAACTGATTATGTACTATTATCTTCAAATATCAGCATCTATTTCTATCATTTGGAATAATGAGGTCATATTTTGTTTGGCCTGGGTGATCATTATAGTTTATAATCGTTATAAACTACCATTTTCTTACAGGATAAACTACCATTTGCAAACCAGTGATCTATAACCAATATCCAAAAAGCAATTCATGCACAAGAACCAATTGATCATCATATAAATTCCCAAAGAAGAAAAGGTTTGTAACTCACAGGTTAAGTAGCTTAGATGGTGCGGGACGTAATACAGTTAATGCCTCCTTCCACAGCCACTGGCATTCAGATAACAAAAGAAGACGCTGCAAAATTGACAACTGCCATTCCCACTCTTCAATGAAATGTTTAGCAATTGACGCTCTCCACTCCAATGCTTGTCTTCCACCCCTACTTACGCCATCACTTAGAGCATGATCTAGTTCAGTTATAGTTGAAGGAAGACAGTGATGTAATATATCAAGTAGTTTCCCCGTGAAAGATACAACCATTTTGTTTCCCTCTTCTCGTGTTAGATCAGTTTTCTCTAAAGCACATGTGTAATGTAATTCAGATTAGCTCCATGCTAAGGCACAATGAGCCAAATTGAGACAAAGATCATCCATATGTAAAAGCAAACTTTTGACATTCGCCATCATGATCTCCCACTTCCCCAGCCCCAACTTCATATACCAATATCTCTACTTATGAGTTATCGCCCCCACACACAACAAGAAATAAATAAATAGGAAAACGACTAATTTTAGATATCCAAAATATGAGTAAACAAATAAAGTAGCAAAAAAGGATGGCAGCATAATAAGTACATGGTTATTTGTAAACCCCAGCTCATAGAATCAAGAAATACTTCATATATGCAGCCATGGTTGATGCAGGAAAATTTCGTTCTTACGTAATATGCAGGGGAAACCAAGTACACATAATCTGCAACAATCAAGCACTAATAACTGCTGGAAGGGCATATTACCAACTTAGAAAAGAAAAGCAGGCATAGCATGTTATCAGTGGACTTTTGCCGCACTTCCCATTCACAAGATGCATAATCTTCGATGCATAATGCACACACAACAAAAAAGACTCCCACAAACTTGCGAGTTACAACACAATATGGTAGTTGTTTGTGCAAATAATCTCGTGAGAGAATATTTGCTTCTAGATCCTTCAATTATTGTTTGTGCAAATAATCTCGTGAGAGAATATTCGCTTACAACTACTTATGACTATGCCTGGAGGGTAGACTGTGCATGCTGAAGTGTGGAAATTTTAAACTGTGTTTTTGACAGGTTGAAAAATTTGGTTAAGTCCGTTTTTCAAGGGAGACTCTGCCGAAATTTCGGTAGAAGTCTCGGCCCTCTTTTCCTTTGTTTTAAGGGAAGAGGACATTTGAAATCATTAAGTGGGCCCGGTATCGGTTGGATGTCGAAAATACCACAGGATCCGTCACGGATTCCGAGGAATTCGGGGCGAGTCCTGTCATTTTATTTGTATTGTTATAGCTTGGTTTTTTCAAGCTTTATCTTTTAATTATTATTTTAAGTTTGAAATCCTAGTTGGGATGCATACGCCAGAGTTTCTTCGATACTGCGTGCTCGTTAGTGGAGGCGCACCAAATTGTCTTAATTTTGATGTTTGGTAAAGTATTGGCTTTTCACTCGATAACTTACCGGTAAGTTGTAGTCTTTTCACTGCATCATTTACATGTCGATTAAATATCGGCTTTTCACGCAATAACTTACCGGTAAGTTATAGGCTTTTCGCTCAATCATTTACCTGACGATTAAATATTGGCTTTTCACGCCATAACTTACCGGTAAGTTATTGGCTTTTCACTCCATCACTTACATGATGGTTAAATATTGGCTTTTCACGCTATAACTTACCGGTAAGTTATTGGCTTTTTGCTCTATCACTTACATATTGAGCGTAAAATTATCACACATGCATGCGCAATGATTTGATTGAAGTTGCCATTGTTTTTCGATCAATTTTAACATGCAAATACTAGTCATAACTCTAGGGGTTATTTTTTGTTATTTCAATCCCTAGTATGGACATGAATATATTAAATTAACAAAGACATAACTATTTTTCGGTAGAAAGGTTAAAGAGCGTGCTGTTGAAATTGCCAAGGCCATAGATGACGAAGATGGGTTGATAGGAGCATTGAATGCCTTTCATAGGCACTTTCCTCACAGTAAATCTGAGGATAAACCCGAGTCATTGCCTGCTAGAAGTGGCTTATTTTCCATCAGTAGGTGTTTTGGCTATTCCCATTTCAGTACACATCCCACGGCCTCTCCTCCACATTTGTAAGTTGGAGCAGTTTCTCTCTGTAATGAGGCTGACTTGAGTACCCTATAACAGTAAGAAAAGAAAAGAATACCCACAGATTCTCTTGTAATGACTGCAAAAAGATTCAGTCTCTAAGCCCCAAGTTGTTAGTGTGTCAACTAGCTGAAAATGCAGTTTTGTTTTAGTACACAAAATTGTATTTACAGGCTCCTTTTGCTCTACCATCCCCAACCAACAAACCACCAGTGATAGTGACATGTACATTTATCTTCAAGTTCTCAATCTTGTTGTTGCTATAACAATAATTGTAATAGACGAAGAATTTGCTAAACAGTTCTGTCTTAGTTTGCTAGACCACAGTTTGTCATAAAACTGTGCCACAAAAAAAAAAAAGACTAAGACAAATATAATAAAAGAACAACTAAGGCAGCTTTGACGGGAAAAAAAAAAAAAAGACTAAGGGCGTTTGACTAAAACAACCAAAGTCATTCGAAGGTTGGAAAAAACTAAAAGGAGACAAGTCATTTTTTTCCTTGGGTAGAGCTCATCGATACGAGTTCATAGACACGTAGTGGGCCCAAATCGCAGTTTTAACGAAGAAGTTACGGTCAGCGGAAGCACAGTGGCACAATTGTAAATATTTCAAGGTCAGAATTTTAAAACCCAGGTCAGCTTCTTTTTCTCTCTCTTTCTCCTACCACGACTCTCTCCCTCTCTCTCTCTCTCTCTCTCTCTCTCTCTCTCTCCGTCGCACAACAACATTTTCCGACGCTGAATCCGGCTTCGTCCGGCCACCGTTTTCGACGAAACGACTTGCAAACTTTTCCTCTCCTCCTCTACTTGACCCACCCAATTTCAAAAACCCGGGTCTCACCCAGGTGCAACCGCGAGATAAAATATATTTTTGGACTCTAATTTGGTCATTGGGATCGAATCCTATTTATTAGATTTGTTAAGTTCGGTTTTGAATTTGTCGGTAGCCTGAAGGGATGTGGTTATAATGTGTTTGTGATTGTGTCGGGGCTGAAACCTATTTTAGATTGATGAATGATTGTGGATTGAGTCCTTACAACTACTTATGACTATGCCTGGAGGGTAGATTGTGCATGCTGAAGTGTGGAAATTTTAAACTGTGTTTTTGACAGGTTGAAAAATTTGGTTAAGTCCGTTTTTCAAGGGAGACTCTGCCGAAATTTCGGTAGAAGTCTCGGCCTCTTTTCCTTTGTTTTAGGGGAAGAGGACATTTGAAATCAGTAAGTGGGCCCGGTATCGGTTGGATGTCGAAAATACCACAGGATCCGTCACGGATTCCGAGGAATTCGGGGCGAGTCCTGTCATTTTATTTGTATTGTTATAGCTTGGTTTTTTCAAGCTTTATCTTTTAATTATTATTTTAAGTTTGAAATCCTAGTTGGGATGCATACGCCAGAGTTTCTTCGATACTGCGTGCTCGTTAGTGGAGGCGCACCAGATTGTCTTAATTTTGATGTTTGGTAAAGTATTGGCTTTTCACTCGATAACTTACCGTAAGTTGTAGTCTTTTCACTGCATCATTTACATGTCGATTAAATATCGGCTTTTCACGCAATAACTTACCGGTAAGTTATAGGCTTTTCGCTCAATCATTTACCTGACGATTAAATATTGGCTTTTCACGCCATAACTTACCGGTAAGTTATAGGCTTTTCACTCCATCACTTACATGATGGTTAAATATTGGCTTTTCACGCTATAACTTACCGGTAAGTTATTGGCTTTTTGCTCTATCACTTACATATTGAGCGTAAAATTATCACACATGCATGCGCACTGATTTGATTGAAGTTGCCATTGTTTTTCGATCAATTTTAACATGCAAATACTAGTCATAACTCTAGGGGTTATTTTTTGTTATTTCAATCCCTAGTATGGACATGAATATATTAAATTAACAAAGACATAACTATTTTTCGGTAGAAAGGTTAAAGAGCGTGCTGTTGAAATTGCCAAGGCCATAGATGACGAAGATGGGTTGATAGGAGCATTGAATGCCTTTCATAGGCACTTTCCTCACAGTAAATCTGAGGATAAACCCGAGTCATTGCCTGCTAGAAGTGGCTTATTTTCCATCAGTAGGTGTTTTGGCTATTCCCATTTCAGTACACATCCCACGGCCTCTCCTCCACATTTGTAAGTTGGAGCAATTTCTCTCTGTAATGAGGCTGACTTGAGTACCCTATAACAGTAAGAAAAGAAAAGAATACCCACAGATTCTCTTGTAATGACTGCAAAAAGATTCAGTCTCTAAGCCCCAAGTTGTTAGTGTGTCAACTAGCTGAAAATGCAGTTTTGTTTTAGTACACCAAATTGTATTTACAGGCTCCTTTTGCTCTACCATCCCCAACCAACAAACCACCAGTGATAGTGACATGTACATTTATCTTCAAGTTCTCAATCTTGTTGTTGCTATAACAATAATTGTAATAGACGAAGAATTTGCTAAACAGTTCTGTCTTAGTTTGCTAGACCACAGTTTGTCATAAAACTGTGCCACAAAAAAAAAAAAAACTAAGACAAATATAATAAAAGAACAACTAAGGCAGCTTTGACGGGGAAAAAAAAACAAAGACTAAGGGCGTTTGACTAAAACAACCAAAGTCATTCGAAGGTTGGAAAAAACTAAAAGGAGACAAGTCATTTTTTTCCTTGGGTAGAGCTCATCGATACGAGTTCATAGACACGTAGTGGGCCCAAATCGCAGTTTTAACGAAGAAGTTACGGTCAGCGGAAGCACAGTGGCACAATTGTAAATATTTCAAGGTCAGAATTTTAAAACCCAGGTCAGCTTCTTTTTCTCTCTCTTTCTCCTACCACGACTCTCTCTCTCTCTCTCTCTCTCTCTCTCTCTCCCCGTCGCACAACAACATTTTCCGACGCTGAATCCGGCTTCGTCCGGCCACCGTTTTCGACGAAACGACTTGCAAACTTTTCCTCTCCTCCTCTACTTGACCCACCCAATTTCAAAAACCCGGGTCTCACCCAGGTGCAACCGCGAGATAAAATATATTTTTGGACTCTAATTTGGTCATTGGGATCGAATCCTATTTATTAGATTTGTTAAGTTCGGTTTTGAATTTGTCGGTAGCCTGAAGGGATGTGGTTATAATGTGTTTGTGATTGTGTCGGGGCTGAAACCTATTTTAGATTGATGAATGATTGTGGATTGAGTCCTTACAACTACTTATGACTATGCCTGGAGGGTAGACTGTGCATGCTGAAGTGTGGAAATTTTAAACTTAGTTTTTGACAGGTTGAAAAATTTGGTTAAGTCCGTTTTTCAAGGGAGACTCTGCCAAAATTTCGGTAGAAGTCTCGGCCCTCTTTTCCTTTGTTTTAGGGGAAGAGGACATTTGAAATCAGTAAGTGGGCCCGGTATCGGTTGGATGTCGAAAATACCACAGGATCCGTCACGGATTCCGAGGAATTCGGGGCGAGTCCTGTCATTTTATTTATATTGTTATAGCTTGGTTTTTTCAAGCTTTATCCCTTAATTATTATTTTAAGTTTGAAATCGTAGTTGGATGCATGCGCCAGAGTTTCTGCGATACTGCGTGCTCGTTAGTGGAGGCGCACCAGATTGTCTTAATTTTGATGTTTGGTAAAGTATTGGCTTTTGCGTTCTTTGAGATATAGGCTTTTTACACTATAACTTCCCGGTAAAATATGGTGTTTTTTGAAAATTAGGCTATTATTTAATAAATTATGTGTAAGATGTTGCGTTCTAAGATATATTGGCTTTTTACACTATAACTTACCGGTAAGATATGATGTTTTTTGAAAATTAGGCAATTTACTTAAAAAATTACGGGTAAGATGTTGCGTTCTTAGATATACAGTCTTTTTACCCTATAACTTACTGGCAAGATATTGTGTTTTTGGAAAATTAGGCTATTTACTTAATAAATTAAGGGTAAGATGTTGCGTTCTCAGATTTGTACGGTTTTTACACTATAACTTACCAGTAAGATATGGTGTTTTTGGATACTTAGGCTATTTACTTAATAAATTACTTGTAAGATGTTGCGTTCTCTGATATATGGCTTTTTACACTATACATTACCGGTAAGATATGGTGTTTTTGGAAAATTAGGGTATTGAGTGAATAAATTACAGATAAGATGTTGCGTTCTTAGATATATAAGCTTTTTACACTATAACTTACCGGCAAGATATGGTGTTTAGGCTTTTTACTCAATAAATTATGGGTAAGATGTTGCGTTTATATATATATATGCATTTTACACTATAAGTTACCTATAAGATATGGTGTTTTTAGAAAAATTGGCTATTTAGTCAAAAAATTACGGGTAAGATGTTGCCTTCTCAGATATATAGGAACTTTACATTATAACTTACCGATAAGACATGGTGTTTTCCGAAAAATATGCAATTCACGTAATAAATTACGGGTAATATGTTGCGTTCTCAGATATATAGGCTTTTTACACTATAACTTATCGGTACGATATGGTGTTTATAGAAAAATAATCTATTTACTTAATAAATTACGGGTAAGATGTTGCGTTCTTAGATATATAAACACTTTACACTATAACTTACCGGTAAGATATGGTGTTTTTAGAAAAATAGACAAATCACTAAATAAATTATAGGTATAATGTTTCGTTCTCAGATATATAGGCCTTCTACACTATAACTTACAGTTAAGATATGATGTTTTTGGAAAATTAGGCTATGTACTTAATAAGTTATGGGTAAGATGTAGCGTTCTTTGATATATTGGCTTTTTACACTATAACATACCGGCAAGATATGGTGTTTATGGAAAATTAAGCTATTTACTTAATAAATTAAGGGTAAGATGTTGCGTTCTCAGATTTATTGGCTTTTTACACTATAACTTATCGGTAAGATATGGTGTTTTTGGGAAATTAGGCTATTTACTTAATAAATTACTTGTAAGATGTTGCGTTCTCTGATATATATGCTTTTTACACTATAACTTACGGGTAAGATATGGTGTTTTTGAAAAATTAGGATATTTACTTAATAAATTACGGGTAAGATGTTACGTTCTCAGATATATAAGCTTTTTACATTATAAATTACTGGTAAAATATGATGTTTTTAGAAAAATAAGCTATTTACTCAATAAACTACGTTTAAGATGTTGCGTTCTCAGATATATAGACACTTTACAGTATAACTTAGAGGTAAGATATGGTTTTTTTTTGAAAAATTAGGCTATTTACTTAATAAATTACGGGTAAGATGTTGCGTTCTCAGATATATAGGCTTTTTAGACTATTACTTACCGGTAAGATATGATGTTTTTAGAAAAATAAGCTATTTACTCAATAAACTACTTTTAAGATGTTGCGTTCTCAGATATATAGACACTTTACACTATAACTTAGAGGTAAGATATGGTGTTTTTGAAAAATTAGGCTATTTACTTAATAAATTACGGGTAAGATGTTGCGTTCTTAGATATATATATATATATATATGCTTTTTACACTATTACTTACCGGTAAGATATGATGTTTTTAGAAAAATAAGCTATTTACTCAATAAATTACGTTTAAGATGTTGCCTTCTCAAATATATTGGCACTTTACATTATAACTTACCGATAAGAGATGGTTTTTTCAGAAAAATATGCAATTCACGTAATAAATTACGTGTAAGATGTTGCGTTCTCAAATATATTGGCTTTTTATACTATAACTTACCGGTACGATATGGTGTTTATAGAAAAATAAGCTATTTACTTAATAAATTATGGGTAAGATGTTGTGTTCTTAGATCTATAGACACTTTACACTATAACTTACCAGTAAGATATGATGTTTTTAGAAAAATAGGCAATTCACTAAATAAATTACGGGTATAATGTTGCGTTCTCAGATATATAGGCCGTTTACACTATAACTTACAGTTAAGATATGGTGTTTTTGGAAAATTAGGCTATTTACTTAATAAATTACGGGTAAGATGTTGCATTTTCAGATATATAGGCTTTTTACACTATAACTTTTCGGTAAGATATGACGTTCTCAGAAAAATATGCAATTCACTCAATAAATTACGGGTAAGATGTTGTGTTCTCAGATATATAGAAACATTACACTGTAACTTATTGGTAAAAGATAGTGTTTTTAGAAAAATAGTCTATTTACTCAATAAATTACGAATAAGATATTGCGTTCTCAGTTTTGTAGACACTTTTACACTATAACTTACCGATAAGATATGGTGTTCTTAGAAAAATATGCAATTTGTTGATGTTCTTTTTGGGAGGTCAACTTATATAGAGGTGGAATGGTGGATGATGGGTGAAGGTGAGAACCTTCAGCATGTGTGTGAAGATTTGGGCAAGTGATAAATATAAAGAAGACAAGATATACGTGGTTCACCCTTAATGAATGGGCTACGTCCACAGAGAAGCCCATGATTAAAGATAAAACCCAGCCCAGGGATCCAGAAGAGAGTCCAAGGCCCAAGGGTCAAGATTCAAGACCCTTTTCTAAGTAGAGAGTGGTCTTCTTTTATAGGTGAGGGAGAGTCTTCACTTCTTGTAGTTTTTCGATGTGGGACTCCTCTTGCTTTGCTTAGAGTTGTGACTTGTGGTAATGCTTCTTTGGCTAAGGTGATGACCTCTCAAAGAATGGCATGTGGATGATCTAGCCAAGCTAGTTGCTCGGTTAGTTACGGTACCAACAGTAGTCCCCCAAGTTCGCGAGTAAGAAGGTACTTCTTGGTTGGGGACTTGTAATTTTAAGTGCACTGGCCGAGCAACGCCATAGTTCATCTTCCAAGCTATATAGTGCACTGCCCATAGTCCCTCAAGTCCCTGGGTAAGAAGGACATTTGGAAGGGAGAGAACTTGGCACGAGGGTGCCGAAGATGAAGGGGTTGCCGAAGGCATAAAGTTGCATGTCACAGGATGAAGTGGCTGGGCACGAGGGTGTCTAAGGCATAAGAATTGCATGTCACAAGACGATGGGCCTAGGCACGAGGGTGCCAGAGGTAAATGACTTGCATGTTGCAAGACAATGTAGCTAGGCACAGGGATGCCAAAGGCACAAAGCTTGCATGTCGCAAGGCGATGTGCCTAGGCACGAGGGTGCTGAAGGCGACACAAACCTTGCATGTTTGTAAGGCCATGTGCTTGGGCACGGGGGTGCCGAAGGTGACACAAGGTGTGGCTAGGCACGGGGGGTACCGAAGGCGACGAAAAGCTTGGATGTCGCAAGGCGATGTAGTCAAGCACGAGGGTGCCGAAGGCACAAAGCTTGCTTGTCGCAAGGCGATGTGGCCAAGCACGGGGGTGTCGAAGGCACAAAGCTTGCATGTCGCAAGGCGATCTGGCTAGGCACGGGGGTGCCAAAGGCGACACAAGGCTTGCATGTCGCAAGACGATGTGGCTAGGCACGGGGGTGCCGATGGCGACACAAAGCTTGCATGTCGCAAGGTGATGTGGCTAGGTACGAAGATGCCGAAGGCGACACAAAGCTTGCATATCGCAAGGAAAATTGCAAATGTGCCTTTTTTTTTCTTTTTTTCCTTTTTGGTAGCTTGGGTAGCTTGGGTGTTTGGTGAGGCTTGTGGCCCTTTTACACGGCCCTTGCCGTTCGGCAAGGAGGTTGGGCTGTTTTGGAATTTTGTTTGCCCATGCTTCTGCAAGTAGGGATTTATGGGGCCGAGCCCTTGTGTTTTGGCATGAGTCTTTTGCTAGGCTTGGCTTAGACTGCGTATGAAGCTTTCAGCATGCTGTGTTGCGCTGGCCATTACCTTCTTCCACATCGCAAGGTTTGTGCATGGTCAAGCCTTGCGCTCTTCTCCGCTTTGGTAAGTTAGAAGGGAGTTGGGCTGCGTGGCATTGAGGAGCTAGGCTGGGAATCAAGTGCTGCCGTTCGAAAGGAGGTTACAGCCTGCTAGAGCACACCCTCGACTTTGTGATTTGGATATGGTTTCGTGTTGTCACTGCTTCGGCAGCATAGGCCAAGTCTCACGGTGGTCCGAGGATCTTCGAGTATTGGGCACCGAGTCTGCAGCATTGCCCTTGCCGAACGGCAAGGGTGGCTTGGGAGCCTTTTTGGAGGCCTTCTTTGCTCTTTTGATCTAGGTCCTTGGTCTGTCAGCAAGAGTGAAGGTCGCGAAGCCCAACGCCAGCTGCATGTTGGATTCGTCGTCTCACTGCTTCAGTGCCTAACAGCTAAAACAAGCGAGTCTTTTCGTGAGAAGATTTTTCATGGTTCCTACCGTTCAGCAAGGCTGAAGGTTGTTTGGGGTTCGGCATCGGCAAGTCTCGGCTTCGGCAGCAGAAAGTCTCGGCTCGTGTTGTCACGGCTCTAGCAAGGGGTCTTCTCCGGTTCAGCAAGGTCAAAAAATGGAGGTTTCAACCAAGTGTGGCAAGCGCTGTGTAGTTGGAAAAGAACCTGCCGAACGACAAGGGTGATTTGGAAATTTTTGAGGCCTCTCGGAGAATTGTGAAGGCTTCGACTGTAACACCCCGACTCCAAGTAAATTTCTAATTTAAAGTATTTAATCTAATTAAATGTGAATTTACGAAATTAACCTTAGGGTAGGGTATTTCGGTCATTTTCTTAATCCAGAAAGAGAGTTTGGGGCAGTGTTTGGTATTTTTGGATTGGTCGCATTGAGGTGAGTCCGTGGACGTGTGGTGGACTCGATTTGGATTTGTAACGAAATTTCGGCATTCAATTTACCTTCGATGGAAAAATCGTAATTAACTCGGGAAGGGTTTGGGTAAAAATTAGCTTTGCTTTCAGTTTTACCTCACTTTACTCTTTCTCTCTTTCTCTCTCCCCGAGCTCTTCTCCCTCTCTACGTAAAAACTCCAGAGTTACTGTTCACCCGAACAGAAAAATCCACGCCGCCACCACTTCCGGCCACCTTAGCCCTCGAGACCGGTCCCAAAAGCTTCGTCTCAACGTCCCGGTCAAGACCCAATAGCTTTCGTCGCCGGCAAACTCGAGAACAGCCGACAATTGCAACTGGTTCGTTTCGGGATTTTCTCATTTCAGGATTTTCCAATCGTTGCGCCGTCGTCTCCGCCGCCTTTTTCCGATGTTTGAGGGGAGGTTTCTTCCTCTCTCTATCTGTTCTAGCTGCCTTTGGTTAGGATTGGATCTTTTTGCTGCGTAAAACCCGATTTGAGAAGTTAGGGTTTTGGCCGGTTTTCAATTCGAAATTCGGGCCAGTTCCCGGCGGTTTTGGGCTTGGCCGTAGTTGAATGAAGTGCTCCCCTAGTTGAGTAGGACCTATACCCGGGAGGGTGACTTGTGATTTGGAGATTTTTCGTCACCGAAATTTCTCTGCACAACCGCTTGCTACCAGCGCTTGTGGCGGCGTGTGGGCAAGTGTGGTGGAGCTGTAAATTGTTCCAGTGTGATCCTTAGGTTGTCACGAGCGCGTAGGACTTCGTGGATCTCGATTCCGAGGTCGTTTGACTATCGAACGGATTATCGCATATTGTGCGTTATCCGGGTTCGATATGTTTCGACCGTTGGATCGTTTTCAAATTGAAGTATGTTACTCTAGACACCCTTAGGATCGTGTAGGATTCAACGGACCACAAAACGGAGTCTCGTATTCTCCGAAAATGCCAACCCTAGGGTTAGGGTTTCAGTAACCGTCTAATCGTGTGATCGTGAGCGATCTAACCGCCTGTTTCAGATCAAACTTGCAGGACGTGTATCCTAGACCTTGTAAAACCTATAGGAACTCCCGGATTGAAAAAATGAGGTTGTGGGTCCCGTGGGCCCGATTGACTCGAATTGGAAAGTTTGATCGTCGGTTGACCGAGTGTCTTCCGAGGCTGTTTCATCGTGCGAATTGGGTAGTTGGACCCTAGAACACCTCTTTCCTCGTACTCACTGGAAACCTGGGAAGCTAGTGTTTTATTTTAAAGTTCTGTTTCGAAGCGCTTGATGTTAATCGCATTTTCGTATTCTGAATCAGGTACTCCGGCCCCGTATACGCAGCAGGCGGGACCCTCTCAGGGTCAAACTGTGTGGGACTACTTGTGAGTGGACTTTTCTTTCAAAACTTCAGCATGACTTTATTCATGGAAAATATGGCATATTGCTTTATTTTGTTTATTGAATATGGTATATATTCGAATGTGAAATTCGTGGTTTTCATAAAGTTTTGATAATATGTTTGGGTTTTGAGAATATATACACATATGGTTATGTGTGGGGTACTTGGGAGGTTAATATGAGTTTATGTAAAGGGGTGATTATTGATATGTCTGTTTGGAGTGCTTTAAGCACTATCCTATGTACCTCATTGGATCTGAAACTTGATTACTGATACTGGATACACTTGGAATTATTTGAGTTCAGGACATCCTTGAGGGTATGTTGCTGTGGACCCTGGATTTGGGGTAGTCTGCGCGCGTAGGACTGGTATTTCAGGCGTACAAGCTTTGACTGTGTCGGCTGTACGTGCTGGCTGAGAGTTAGTTCCCCAGTTGGACGGCTCGTTCCCTAGACACATGGTGAATTGAGGAATGGCTTTGCCATGTGGACTAGTCAAACAATCCCCCGGTTGGATTGTTTCCCCGGTACAACTAAATTTTGGTTATATTTATATATTATTATTATTATATTTTATATTACTATATATATATATATATATGAATTTTCTGTCGTTCTTATTTCTCGGTAAGGATACTTCCTCACCGGTCGTACCATTGGGTACGTTTTCGAGAGTTTAATCTATCGGGACTCTTAAGTTTTGAGTGGTGGGTTTTGTGAAGTGTGATTCACGGATTTCGGATTTGGTATCCGGTATTATTTTTAGTATATGTTTATATACTGCTTATGACGGTTTTATTATGCATCTGGATTCGTTGCATGTTTTTATAAAGGTGGGGTTATATTACTTTGATTTAATTGAACTGAACTTAATTTTCGTCCACTCACAATTTTCTGTTTTGCGCCCCCAGCCAGTAGCAACTGAGCTCCACAGTCGAGCCGGACCGAGTGCTCTCGAAACTTGAGTCTTCGTAGGGACTCCTACACCTTTTCCTTTTAGTTGAACTGTACTTCTGTTGTATTTGAATTTCTTAGATATGCTTTGTATCGCCCGCTGAGGGTATAAATCGTGAGGCCGGAGGCCTTTGTTGTAAACTGTTTTATTGCTTGTAAAACATGCTGCTAGTTGGTTGTTTATAACTGTAATTTTGAACAGGTTAAAGTTTGGGAATGTTCATTTTACAGGGGAGACTGCCAAATTTTTGGTAGAAAGTCTCGGTCTTTAGTAAATGGGCCCGTCCCGGTTTCCAAGGAGATTTGGTTGCACGGTCATTCCAACCATGGTTTATGAATGTCCTAAAAGGTTTCAATTAACCTTTATTAATAAGAAGAATTAAATAATGGAATTAAATTTGTATATCATTTCTGAGGAGTTGAGTCAACCCACTACCTTGCTAAAGGGAACCTATGGATCTGCACACCCAAAGAATGTGATTTGATGTACAAATGAGGAGACACAAGTCAATGGTTGATAATCAAATGTTAAAGTCAACGATCAAAAGTCAACATATTGACCTGAGCAATTGACCAAAGTCAAACAATTTGACAGGGTCAATTAAGTAAGACTATAATTATAATTTAATAGTTAAATTATAATTAAAAGATTAATTATGGAATTAATATTGACATATAGAAATATTGGATTGGGCTTTTAAATATGATTTAAAAGGAAAGGGACAAAATCGCCCAAAGGGCTACTAGGCCCAAGGGATAAAGTGGCATAAGATGACATGACCCATGGACCAAATGGAACCCCAAATACCCACCCAATTGCCTTTTGTGTTGTCCTATATAAGCTAAGTGTTGGAGAAAACCTACCTAGGGTTTTTGGTTTCCTACTTTGGTCGATGAGTGATCATCTTTGTATCTCATCTTTCATAAACCAAAAATTGGTCTAATCAAGAAGTAGACTAGCATCTGCACTTCTTGATTGCCTCTCTTTATCTCTAAGAGGATTTGGTGTGGTGACGTAGAGGACTCCAATCTTGGAGCCACAAGGTGAAGAAGTCAAAATCAAGAGAAACAAAAGGCCTTTCCAACAAAGGTGTTCATTCTTGAGAAATCAAGAAAAGGTCATCATGGGTAGTTCATTTCCTAACCATCAGATGTATGTTTCCTTCAAGTCAATGTTCTTCCCTATTCCCTGATGAAGAACCTGAATAAGACCAAGGAAGATCTTATCCCGTGTGGCGTTGCCATGAGTGGCTTTGTCGGTGACAAGTCCAAAACCATTGGAATATTGCCATTGAAAATAACTGTGTACGATCATACAAGAGTTAAGGACTTTTATGTTGTGGAGTCGAATGTGGACTACAACATATTGCTTGGCGGAGACGGGCAAAAGTGTCAACCCTAGCTCACGAAACATACAAGTGTTATTGAATCGGTTCAGTTTTTTTAATTCATGTTTTCACAGATCTTTTGGGTCCCTTAGAATCCTCAATCTCAAATTCGAATTCTCATACTTTTTCCAGTCAAATTGGACACTCCTAGCCTATGATCTAACCAACCCTAGCTCACGAAACAGTTGAATCTAAAAATAAATAAATAAAAGGGACTTCAGTCGACAGTTTTTTTAATTCATGTTTTCATAGATCTTTTGTGTCCATTAGAATCCTCAATCCCTAATTTTGATTCTCATACTTTTTCCATTCAAATTGGACACCCTTAGCTTTTGATCTAGCCAACCCTAGCTAATTATACAGACAGTTATTATTGAATCGTTTTAGTTTTTTTGGTTCTTGTTTGAGCAGATATTTTAGGTCCTTTAGAATCCTCAATCTCTAATTCGAATTGTAGTACTTTTTCCAATCAAATTGAACACTCATAGGATTTGATCTAGCCAACCCTAGCTCACGGAACAGACAGGTGTTGTTGAATCGGTTCAGTTTTTATAATTCACGTTTTTACAGATCTTTTGTGTCCATTAGAATCATCAATCTCTAATTTGAATTCTCATACTTTTTCCAATCAAATTGGACACTCCTTGCCTTCGATCTAGCCAACCCTAGCTAACGTAACGGACGGGTGTGGATGAAGCGGTTCAGTTTTTTTGATTCATGTTTTTGAAGATCTTTTGTGGCCATTAGAATCCTCAATATCTAATTTGAATTCTCATACTTTTTCCAGTCAAATTAGACACTCCTAGCCTTTGATATAACCAACCCAAGCTCACGGAACAGACAAGTGTTGTTGCATCGGTTCAGTTTTTTTAATTCATGTTTTCACAGATCTTTTGGGGCCCACAGAATCCTCAATCTCTAATTTGAATTCTCATACTTTTTCCAATTAAATTGGACACTCCTAGCCTTTCATCTCGCCAACCCTAGCTAATTATACAGACAGATATTATTGAATCGTTTCAGTTTTTTTGGTTCTTGTTTTTGTAGATCTTTTGGGCCCATTTGAATCCTAAATCTCTAATTTGAATTATCGTACGTTTTCCAATCAAATTGGACACATATAGCCTTTGATCTAGCCAACCCTAGCTTGTGGAACAGAAATGTGTTGTTGAATCGGTTCAGTTTTTTTAATTCTTGTTTTCACAGATATTTTCTGTCCATTAGAATCTTCAATCTCTAATTTGAATTCTCATACTTTTTCCAGTCAAATTGGACACTCCTAGCCTTTGATCTAATCAACCCAAGCTCACGGAACAAACAAGTGTTGTTGAATCGGTTCTGTTTTTTTATTTCAAGTTTTCACAGATCTTTTGTGTCCCTTAAAATCCTCAATCTCTAATTTGAATTCTCATACTTTTTCCAATCAAATTGGACACTCCTAGCCTTTGATTTAGCCAACCCTACCTCACGGAACAGACAGATGTTGTTGAGTCGGTTCAGTTTTTATAATTCCTGTTTGTGCAGATCTTTTGTGTCGATTAGAATCATCAATCTCTAATTTGAATTCTCATACTTTTTCGAATCAAATGGGGACACTCCTTGCCTTTGATCTGGGCAACCCTAGCTCATGGAATTG